CATTTTCTAAAATATTAATTTAAAAAACACAATAAATAATTTGAGATTCTAACTTATATATAAACATAATAAATATTAGTTGCAATTCCTCTTAAATTTGTTGATTGCGTTGTACGTGCAGCAAAATGCACATGAGATGGACTCCTCCTCCTGTATTTTAATGTAAAGAGGTTTCTTCGTCGATGGCTCCTTGCGTTAGAATTTTCCGTTTTAAAATAATCATCAGAAGTTAGATAGAAACGAGAAAGACAACTAATAAATTAAATGCAATTATGGGTGTGCGATGACAGCTAAATAATGAAATTTCTCTTCAGGCGAAGGAAGCTGCTTGTCGAGTTATGGGGGAGGCACACACGACGGAGAGGATCTGAATCGAGGTTAGTAGTAGTATAACATAAAGTGGAAATAAAGGACAAAATCCATCGTCGTACTTTACAAAACCTCCAAACTGGCAAGTGGATCCCAAGTGCGTGCATCTGGTACTCCACCTTTAACATCCGACTCCACGGAGATTGCAGTTAAAGAATTCATGCAGAAATCCAGGATCCATATTAAAACTGACTGTGCTATATAATAACCATGCCTGAGAATGTGAAAAATATAAACTGAAACGAGGATGTAAAAAGGCAACTAGGGTAATATTTGCCGGTTGATCAACAATCTTAGACGTAAGAATATACAAGAAAAGTCATACACACACACACACATATATATATATAAATATATATATATGCCGGCTCCATGAAAAAGCAGCAGTTATATAATATTGCCCTTTTTTTTTTCATGAAATTGCCAAGAAGTTTATGCAAAAACAGAGGCATATCACACAAGGAGGCAATTAATTGATTGAGGACTTAATACTAGTACAAGGGCTCCCTGATCATGTGGATTCAACCGATTTGGGAGAAAGAGAAGCGCTGTTGTGATGGACAGGCATGGACTTTGATCTCTTGAAATAGGCAGTAGAATTGGAGCGATGAAACCTGCACCTGAACGATCCCTGATGAGTCGTGGGCGAGCAGAGACACTGCTGCTGCCCTTTTGGAGACGAAGAATTCTGGCCGTTGGCACTCTTGGGGGATGTTGTGGTTTCCACCGTGATGCCACCGCCAGCTGGGCCGCGGGGGTGGTGGGAGGAGGCCATTTAATTACTACCAGAGAGAGAGAGAGAATGGAAGAAAACCATATGGCAAGAGAGTCTTGTTGTGGTGTATATGATATAAGAAGAGGAGATCTGATTCTCAAATATAAAAAAGGTTTATCCCCTTTTGGTTTTGGGGGTGGGGGAAAAAAAAAAATAGAATACTAACAAAAAGGAATTATCTCCATCAACAAGTGCTGTGGTGTGGCCCCTTTCTCCTTTCTTTTTCTTCTTTTATTTATCAATTTCTCATTTTTTTTTTTCTCTCTTTAGTGGATTTTCCACTTTACCTCCTCAAAATTCGTTATCGTTTTACTTTTCTTGATTGGTCTGCATTTCTAGGGAGGGGCGACTGTTGATTTCATTCTTGGCTTTTTGTGCGCAGAACTAGAGTACTGGTCTTCAAACGTTCTTCCCATCCCTGGGAACGGGAATGGAGCTGTAGTGCAGCCCCTCTCGACTGGTACTTGTCAGATGACCCCATCTCATCGTATCGAAACAGGTCTCACACTGCCAATATTCTTGTCACTCCCTGCATAAATTGCCCAAAGATAGTTGGGACATGGGACATTGAGTTAAGTGGTCCATAGAGATAAAAAGAGTCATGCTAATCTCTCAGCCGAGAGGTACTTCTGTGCATTGATTATTAATTAGGTAAATTTCTTTGGAGCGAGTGCATATTCGATTTGTTTTTGCCAAAGCAAAGGTTCGCTGAGTAAAGCAATCTGTGGAATTTTTTTATTAATAAAAGAATTCGCATTCGAGTGCACTGCATAAACCCCAGCCCCGTTTGAAAGGTGAGTTTTTTGAGTGTTTATCTAAAACTTTACTGTAATTTATGTAGAAGTTTTTTAAAAAAATTTTGAAGTGTGTTTTTTTTTTTTAATATTTTGAAGTGTATAGTTTAAAATTTTAAAAAGTTTTTTGAGATTATTGTAATTAAAATTTTTAAAAAACTTGTAGCAAACAAACATGACAAAAAATTTGACTTCCAAACAAGACCCCCGTTTCTGCCAATTATATGGAGGGATAAGACGCATGGGAGTAATTTGCGAATTGTGAGTGCAATGGGTAATTTTAGCATATTTTGCGTTCTACTTCTCATCGGATGTGACCCTTTGAAATACAGGTGACACCTAATTGTGGTTAGGATAGGATAAGACTAACGAACATTGAAAGTTTAGTGAAGTAATTTTAATTTAGCCCACATACTAGTATTAGTTACTAACCATGGTTGGGCTTAATTAACACACCAGTTGTAACTATAAGGCAAGGAACAAAATCCAAGCAAGCACGTGGGAATGCAATGGGGAGATTGGTCCATGAAGAGATGATGTTCCGTCTGGGACATCATGTTTGGATCTGCGAACACGTATTAGATTCTATGATCCTCTCTCTATCAACAAAGACTATTATGAATTATCAATTCCAGGGGTAATAGTTATTCAATACTACTCTCTGTCTATTACCAGAATAAGCAACAGTCCACAGTTCGCGCTAGTAGATTGTCCATCACCTCCACGCGTTTCTTCTAGCAAACAATCTGGCCTACGTGGAAATTCAGATTTCAGATTAATTATGTAGATATGGTCAGATTTAAAAGATGAATTAAACTCACTCGTATTCGAATTGAATTTGATTCGATGAAAATTTGTTTGAATCAATTAGTTAAGTCAAATTTAAATAGTATTTTTTATTCGATAAATTTTGAAAGCCGGTTTTGAACTTAGCTTGTTTAGTATTGAAATTTAACTGTACAGATTTTAAATTAGTCGAATGCCTCGACGCAAGTTCAATTGGATAAAAATTCGTTCGAGTTTGGCTTGACAAATAAACAAATTAAGTTTGAACACAAAATCAAGTTTGTTACAATAATCACACAATTTTGAATAGATGTTTGGTTTTAATTAAATTGGTTTCCACCCCTAAATATCACTTTAATCAATCAATGGATCATTACCAAACTTTTTTTTTCCCCATCTTTTCGTTAAAAAGACCACAAGTGTTCATACATTCACCAGGGGTTTGTATAGAGCCATAAAAGTAGTAGACGATTTAATTCTTCTATTAACGATTTCTTCAGATTACATCTCCCAGCGGGCGACCATTCGAAAGGAGATGCTAAACGTAATTAACGATTTCAACCCGTAATTATCACTTGACTTTGAGGTTCACTCTAACTGTGTGAAAGTGAAACCATAATGCATATGTTCACTAATCACACAAGACAACAAAAGAAATGGGAAACAAAAAAATTGAAAGAAAGGGATTAAAAAGCTTTTAGAAACTACTCGATCCTGTCATCCCGGTGGTGGTCAACGTCATGCAGATAATTTTCTCAATTTGTAGAATATTCTTAGCAAATTAATTCGAGGTTATGTTACATCTCTTTCTTTTAATTAATGTGAGCCCACACTAGTGTGTGTGGTACAACTTTTTTCTTTTTTATAATCTGCTCATCTTGACTTAGGAGTAATAACAATAACAATAATGGGATGGGATGATTTTCTGAATACAGTATATAATTTTGGACTCCTCCACCTTTCGCTCAGGCATTGACAGAGGGGAGGGACCGGACCCCGCCTTAAGCTCATGGTCCATCATCATATACAATGGAGGACCTGTTGAAATGGATAGAAGATGCCATCAACTCATCCTTACCACTAACCGCCAAATCAGCCATCAAAACCAAACAGGAAAATATGCTTTCTTTCTGATAGACAACCGATGCAGCGGCCGGCCAGCAGCTACGTTACCCGGCCATGATAAATTAGTATTCAATTCAAATGGATTTGGTTTTGCGTTTTTAGACTTTTACCTCGCGTTAGCTGGATGAGGATTAACGAAGCCAATAAAATGGCTTAGTCTGGTTGTTGAAAGCTAGTTACTTTCTCAAGTTGTTGATACTCAAAAGGTGCTAGAATCTTGTAAATAAACTGCAATTTGAATTGAAGAACGTTGGATTGGTTTCCTTTCAAAGTGGGGTTTTGGTTTTTGGACGGGAACAACAAACATAGATTAAATAGCTCGAGGAGTGGCAGTATTCTGGGTAGAAAAATCAATAGTTATGGGAAAACCTGCTGCCTTGCTCTCGTGGACCATACAAATGCCATGTCTCTTCTGGAAACTTGCATCAAAGCCGCTTTGAGGGATAAAGTAACATAGTACCAGGGTTGAAGGCCCAAGGCCCTCTCTCTGTTGGACAGGTGCAAAACTGAGAATTTGGTTATATGCCAAGTTATGAAGCTCAAAAGTCATGAAACTTCATGGGTCTCCACATGTCGGCAGGTGCCACAAAGTAAGGGTTTATGACCCTTCCTAGCACAAAAAAGTATACTCCCTCCATCCCACTTTGATAGTCATGTTTTTCTTTTTTGTCTGTTTCAAATTATAGTCTAGTTTCCAATTGAAGAATGTAGTTATATTTTAATTTTTCTAAAATACCCTTATTCAATGTTAGTTGTTGTTACTATAAACCTATCCCATTTAATGAGAGTTGATTCTTTTTTTACCATCAATTCAAGTTTTCATAAACTTATACTCTAATTAATGTGAGGGTATTTTAGGAAAATAGCTACCTAAATTGATTGTTCCAACAAAGTTAACTGCTTTTTCTTAAACTGTGTAAAAAAACAATCAGGACTATCAAAGTAGGACAGAGGGAGTATATAAAATAAAAGTTATGAAACTTCTACCTTGATTATTAAATCAAAATCTGATTAACCAAAATCAAGAAATTAACACAACAAATCTTGAATACCACCATGTCCTTTTGCTACGTGATAGAGAAGAACAAAGAGGCCTGATGACGTGGCCTCTAGCTAAGCAAACCAAAATCAGCAAAACTTACCAGTCAACGACAGAGCTTCATTACCTAACGTTCTTTCTTTTGAATTTTACTAATAGGGACAGGGATGGTTTTCTAGCGTTGTGCTTACTTCGGGCTAGCTCGACTACTTAGATGTTAAGGAAAATCCGTGGTTTCTTTAACCAATCTTAGACATTTGGTTATCGTCCCCCCAAAAGAATATACTGCTGTACAAGGATTACCAGTGTAAATCTTCCTCTCCTGATTGATTCCTCTGTTCTTTTGTTGTAAACTAAATTCTTCCGGTGGTGGAAATAACCGAGTTGATGGCTCCAACGGGGAACAAGAATATACAATCCAAGCTGGTGGGTATGTCTTCCCTTTCTCTTTTACTGCTAGTACTGGATTCTCATGCAGTTCATGTTTCAAATATAGCAGTAATCTTATTATGTTTCTTTGCCGGATGTTTCTGGGATGATCACTAAAACTCTTCTTATACCTCCCGGAGTTTGAAATTTTCACGAATTTTATTCACTGAAGTTCTGAAATTTCAATTTCTTTTACTATGTGTATTGCGATCCCTCTGGTTTTCTGCTTTTGATTATCTACTGTAATTTTAGTTCGTCTGGTCATGATTTGCCCGAGAAATTCTCTACTTCAGCTTGGTCTTCTGCACTGCACAATAAGAAAACTTGTTGTATACTTAATTGACTAGGTATGCTGCAGAATTAACCTATTCATCCCTTTTTTTAGGTGCTTCTTGGGGACATGGGGACTGGGAAGACCAGTTTAGCATTAAGATTTGTCAAAGGCCAGTTCCATGATTTTGAGGTACAGTTCATTCAATTATGCTTTATCTCATTCTTTATTGTAACTATGTCTTTTGACGCCATTGAGTGAGCTTTTAACCATGACGTTCAGGAATCAACCATTGGAGCAGCCTTCTTTACTCAAGTCTTGTCACTCAACGAAGCTACCATAAAATTTGATATATGGGACACAGCAGGACAGGAACGTTATCATAGTTTAGCTCCAATGTACTATCGAGGTGCAGCTGCTGCTGTTATAGTTTATGATATCACAAACGCGGTATTGGCACTCACTTTTTTTACCCTTTTTCTGTTATTGATTGCACTTATGGAGAAGAACAAGTACTGATATTATCAAAGATGATGCAATTTTAACTAGTACTGACATTGTCAAAGTTAATGGGATTTTCCCTTTTGTTTCCGAAGAGAAGAGGAGGGGAACATAAAGTTGAAAAGAACACGAGGAAACCAGTGGGAATTTAATCTGAATATAATTGATAACATCACTGACTAGCAATTACTATTTAGACTGACATGTGCTGAAATTGTGGCTTCAGGATTCATTTGAACGGGCCAAAAAGTGGGTTCAACAACTGCAGCGACACGGTAAGATCATCTCCAAACCTTTCTCCTGTTGCTTTTATTCTTTTCTTGACAAGAAATTGGAACTTATACCGACGATGAGTTTCCCTTTTGACTGAAAGAAAACCCGGGAAAGGAAGAGGGTTGACGAGTACAAAACTACTGCGTTTATTCTGCATTGGTTGTGAAAGGACTAGGTGCAGGTGTGCAAGTGTTGAGGAAAATACCTTACCTCTTGAGCTAGCTTTTGGAGTGGGAAGGCTCAGGAACGCCCAAGTATAACTATTACGTATCAGCACAAAATTGCTACTCATCAAAAGAGAGGAAGATTTAACCCTGAGACATAGCCCCGTTTGTCAGAACCAATCTTTCATCACTTTTTTATTTCGTTAATTTGTCCAGCCTTGTAAACTTATTTACCTTTCCTGACAAAATGTTTTGCAAAGAAACAAATCGAACAGTATTTGAATTTCGTGAAAGCAGTCTGCATTACAAAACTGAATAGTATATGAAGCAGTTTGGAATCTAATTGCTTTACATTTGGTATTATTGCATGTTTTTGATTGTTGAAAGTTCTTTCATCTTAACTCATCATATACTTTTGTAGGAAATTCCAATATGATTGTGGCTTTGGTGGCAAACAAGGCCGACTTAAGTTCAGACAGAACGGTGGAAAATGAGGTACTTGTAGTTGGTTTTCCAATCAATAGCTTCACTTCATTTCAAGTAGACATGGATAGCATCCAAAAGTCCTATTATGATTGCTATTCTTATTATTATTATTTCCTTTCTTTCTTTGGTTAGAACATTTTACTCAAGCTTCATGATGATTGTTGGTATAGTTATTTAGACATTTGTTGTCCGTCTATTAAGCATGCTTTTCTATCTGATAAGTTTTCCTCCCTCTTCTTCACACGCCCTCAAAGCCCTTTCCTTGATTTTAAACTGAATGAAAGTTCTCCCATTCGTTAATAACTTTCAGGAAGGGGAGCATTATGCTAGAGAAAATGGCTTGCTATTCTTTGAAACTTCAGCAAAAACTGCACAGAATGTGAATGAGCTATTTTATGAAATAGGTAATTTCTCTCACTAATTTCTCTAGCATCTTGGAAATACGTATGAAATATGTCATACATATTACCAGGCATTAAATTATAAGCCGGTGGTCATGCGAGGTAGAATCGCCTGGTGCTGCTGACTAATGCTCATACATTTGCAGCCAAAAGTTTGGCAAAGGCAGTCCATATACGACAAGCTGGAATGAAACTGCAAAGCAGATCTGCAGATCAGAGAAGAGGGCTCTTTTGCTGCTCTGGATGAAGACAAACATGATTGTAGGAAAACGTAAGTTTTTAGCCTAATATTGTGCATCTCTCATGTTGCTGGTCATTCTTCATGGTAAGTCGAGGAAATTCAGTGGCAGACGAGGCCTTTTTAGATTAATTGCAAACTTCGCTATTACTCTGTAATGAAGTCAATTTTTTTTTTGGTTGGCTTGTGAGGCTAATCTAAACATTGAAAGTACTTTTTAAAATTTGCTAAACTTGGGTCTGCGCCGTAGAAATTTTAGACACAGGACAAGAAAGATTCGGAAATGTTGGCAGTGGGAATTTTCGCAATAAACTTGTTCATTTGGTGTAAGTAGTGGACGCGAAATGTTGGGACTTGGGGAACAGGTAAATGGAAGTGAAGTGAAAACAACCCCCTGGTGAGTTGACCATTCTTCAATGAAATGTTTAGAATGTCATAATTGATACCCCATAAAACTATTTGTAGTGATCTTCTGTGACCCATTAGTTGTTTCATCTCATCCATCAATATGAGAAACAGTTAAAAGAAGTCAATGCAGCAAGGAAACTTGTAAAGTGAGACTGGGTGAGTCTCCATATGTTGATAGATTTGGGGGCATAATAGAAATTTTGTTTTACGGGAGCACATTTTATTTCTTACTCGGCATCCAATATGATTCTAGGTTACTAGTTTTTCCTTGTATTTATATAGTACCTGTTTTTGTTAAAAGTTCAGTATATCTTTCTAATGCGGTTTCTTTGCCATGACACTGTTTACAGGTCCCTTCACAAGAAGCGAAAACTCACTGATACTGGTGGAAACTCTAAAACTAGCATCGTGGTGCATAACTGCTGTCCAATACCATTGTTTCCTGAGGAGATAAAAGGGACAGAAGAGGAAGAGAGAAGAGGGGGGAGGGGGGGGGGGGTTGTTCCTGCATCTTCATGTGTTACTTTTGAAAGCTACAAATTCTTTGATTGCTTTGGATGCTTTGTATACTTGTGCGCATAACATTAATTTCCAAGTCGAGCACTAATCTTCGGTGAATATGATGGATGATATTAGAGCCAGGTTTCAATAATAAACAAGAGAATAAATTGTAACAGAGAATTGGACATTTCCTATGACCTCTCCCATTTTTCTTAATTAATCAAAGTTTTCTGCCTAGTTATGATGGCCCTTTTCTCATCTTGTGAATGGGCATTATTTGCCCTTCCTTGCAACGATCTTTAGTCTTACATGTGCAAAGAACAAAACAGGGCCTCTTATCGAGGATTACAAGTCACTCCCTGCAGATTGGGTCAAGCACCCAGTTCGACAAAGAGCAAAACGTACTGAAAGAAAAGGAAAAATTAAAGAAAAAGGAAACGAAAAGAAAGTATACCAATCGAAGCACTAATTTGAGTTTAGCAGAGCTAGCAACATGCATGAAATTCATCTAAAAGACATCTCATCGCTACATGGGGAACAAAATCTTTCGAATCCAACAGAACATAGGGCCAAAGTCCCTGCCCTCGGACTCAAAAAAAAAAATATATCAGTTCTCGTGCTCTCAGGCAATGAAGCTTCTACTTTTCTTGGGGCCTGGTGTGCTATACCTAGAGATTAACGGCAAGAGGCATCCTCATCAAAGTGGACAAAAGCCCGCATATACAACATTGGCACAAATTCATAGGAATCGGCACACGATGTTTTATCAAAAACAGGGATTTTGTTGCCTGTTCTTTGGTCCACCGATCATTTCACGTGCATCATTACAATCCCCACAAGTACAAGATGAATTAAGCGCTCGGTGTCTCCTTCCAAAGCCAGTAGAAATGTACTTGGATTATGTAAAACAAAAGATTGCCTCTTGAAAATATACACAAGTAGGCAAGACAAAACAAAAACTGTACTTATTAGACGAAGAGATGGACACTCGCAAGGCAACTCTGGATTAGGATATAAGCGTGGCCTCGGCAAAAGAGCCATGGTCAAGCCTAGAGGCAAAAGCGTTCGCCTGAATAAGGGCTCAGATTTCTCTTTTTAAGAGTACCTTTTTCATCTTTTTCATTCAATAACAAGTTTCCATTAAACAAAGTAAACACTGACGAAAAGAGAAAGAAAGGGACCAAAGCTACATAGTGAACAGTAGAAAAAACTAACCTGGAAAACTAACGTGGGAATTCGGATACCTAAATTTTTACCACGAAGGAGAAGTACACGGTGACCCTGAAGTTGATGAAGACGAAATGCCCTCATTATTGGAATCACTACCGGAGGTGGCAAGGGAACGAGCGTCCCTCAAAGAAATTGAACATGCCTGAGCTGGAAGCTTTTTTATCGGAGATAATGGAGGGGTCATTGGAAGTGAGGAAGGACTAGACGCAGTCGTCGATTTAGCATTATCGTTATCATCTTCTCCAGAAGAACAGTTGGTGTCTAGACGAGACGGTGATGAATCAGGCGTCTCAAATGGGGTAGCCACCCTGCTAGGCCTGTTGCCAACATTGTCATAAATCGGATTGCTTATGTATATATAAGTTTCCTTGCTGCTCCCACCACAAAATTCATCGTTGCGAGTGCTTGTACTGTCAAGAGGTGCCTCATGAATGAGTCTTGGTGGTGCCAGGGGTACAAAGGAAGGCGATGATGGTAGAGAAAAGACATGCCGGTGTAGTTCATTAGGGCTAGAGGTCGGTTGTTGATTAGGAATCTGAGAATCACGTTGCTTCTCGAGGTCCTCATTGCTTTCGTTGCCATAAACTGCGGGGAAGAGGAAGTTTCTTGGAGCATGCAGAACGCCATGAGCATAGAAGGCACTGAGAGATGGAGTTCCCGAAAGGTCCTGATCATGTTCCGGGGAGCCATCATTAGAGGTGGCGGCAGCTCTGGAGTTGGGAATGTTGGAAGTGGAAGCTCGCAGTGGCCGTCTGCGGCGGAGTAAAAGAGAGCAGTAGAGCTGAGCCAACAGGACCAAGACCAGTCCTAGTACTATGCCAATGCTCACAACCACAATTAGTGTTGCTCCCATTATTACCTGGGAAGTACCCTTCATCTCTTTTCCCCGAGTGTCTGTGTGCGTTCAAGTCTGTGACTCTGTGTCTGTGTGCGCGTAAGTTAGGAAATGAGAATGGCACTGTAATAATTAATAAATGGGCTGTTGGAACCATTGACGGTGACAAAAGATTTTGGCGGGCAAAGCTGTCTTCGGTCTTTAACTTATTTTACTCCATTCACCTTTTTGAGCATATTTTAGTCTTGACCTGTGGCCTTTGGGCTCGTGACAAGGAATTGGGAATCTTTGCTGGGAATTTTGAATAGGATTTTCATTTTTTTTCTGTAGAAGTAGTGGTGATATGACATATGTGAGATAAAAAAATTATTATAAACATAAAAATGTGTATTAGAAGATGGATTTATGATGCAAGAAAATAACTTTTGAACAAGTGCGTGCTATCCAAACACACTAAATTGTCCATTAATACAATTTTCACTTTCAAATTCTGGTATAATCAGGTTAACTGAAGCAGTATGTTATTAAAAAATGGGCCTCAGGCAAATCCCACTTATGGAATCCAAATATCTTATGAAATGGCTTACGAGCGCAGATCCATAACAAAACCTATTCATTTTCCATGCGAGAATCACCCTACCATGCCAGCCTTGCTGCACTTGGAAGTTCTAGCTCGTCATCATGGTCAGCTAGGGAACGTGACAAAAGAACGGCGTACAACTTCCCAGCAAAAAGAACTAATTTCCTACCAACCAATTAAGAGATCTATTTGGGGCAACGAACATTTTTCCTTCTTTGTGAACATCCCTCTTTCTACAGCCCACTCGCACTACACCTCCGGAACAAAGTATTGGATATGTAAACAACTGTACTAGACAGTGACTATATTAAACATATCAATTATGCGGTATAAGTTGAAACACCAAGGATCAGTAGATGCCTAAAAGAAGGAATTAACTAATAAGCTCCATCTTAGTCTCCGTCCAACACATCATATCGGGAAAATCAGATGGATACAATCTTACAACCAGGCACAGCACCAACTTTAGACACAAATCTGTATAACATCTCATGCGATGAACTAATAGAAAAATGAGGCAGCACCAAGAATGAGCAAGTACTTGTACCTTTAGTATAAGTAAGAGGAATCAATCAGGGTTGAGCAATGAATTCGGTTTCTCCAACTATTGCAGCTAACGAGCCTGGAAGTAAGCCAGTTGTAGGCAGCGGGAAGATGGATATAAAAGATAGAGATGTAAACACAAACAATTTCGCGTGTTTCAAAAGCCGTTGCTCTTTATCGGCCTTTCAGTGCAGCAAAGCGAGCAGCCAAATCATCATAATCAGGTAACTTGGGATGCACATGCCGAGCCTGGCCATCTGGATGAAAGGACTTTGCACGGGTAAAAACCTTTTTGGCCTCTGATTGAGTCGTTTCTTGACGAGGCAAAGATATAGATCTAGTGGTGGTTGGTATGACATCTGCGTTCGAATCATGCCCATCTCTCATTCGATCATGAGAAGATTCACCACTACCATTACTTATCTGATGAGATGGATGTGCTTGAGAGCCTTTTCTCATATTTCCACCGCCATAGGTTGATGGTTTCTTACTGTAATGTAGCAAAAGTTTATCAATCATTCTCTCTTCTTCATCTTTTTGAGAATGCTCATCATCAAACAAAATCTGCAAGCCCTTTCGCGAACTGTCCCTTCTCCTGCTACTGGAACTTCTTTTTACAGCTACAGCATCTTCAACATGAGCCATGTCATCATGATTGGAAGATGATTTGTGTTGCTTCCTCCTAATTGATCTTGGTTTTGGCAAGGCTATTTTATCATCCTGATAATATTGATCTTCGCGATGACGTTGACTTCTTACTCTGCCAGGCCCAATATTTTGTCCCTCATGGCCAGGATTATATGGCCCCATCTGAATCCTGTTAGATCCATTCTCTGAAGGTTCTGTAGAATGCCCATCACTGCAAGGACCTGCTAGCTCAGACTTTCTACTAGGTCTGTTTTTATGGTCTTTAGGTTTAACATATGGAGGGATGAGGTTGCTCTTTGATTTTATGTACGGTGGAGGAAGTAGAGCATTCTGGTAGGATTTTGAACTGTCTACATCTTCCTGTTGAACTTTTCTCTTTGAGTTTGCCATATTCTTCTCCCTGACTTGCTCATGGGCAACTGACATATCCTCATTCCTTCCTGGAAATCCCCCACAACTTGAACGCATTTCTGATTTTCCATGAGATGGAGCATCCGAGCTCTCCCCATCATGCATACTAGTGGAACCATCATCCTGACCTGAATATCCACCACTGAAATCGTCTAGCCCTTTCCTACGTGATGAAGTGCCTGCTTTTACAGCTTTGAACAAAGTTTCATCCTTTTTCCATGATAATTCATGTTTGTCCACCATCACTTCTTGCCTTCGCTCAAATAAAAGGTCATTTCTGACTTGTCTTGGAGTACTCTCTCCTTTCTTGGTTGGTGATATGTGTCTATCAGTGCCACTTCCCAACCTTCCTCTGAAATGGAGGTTCAACTGTTCTCTTGAATCCTTATCCTCTCTACCATTGCGCATTCCGTGCCCATCATTAATTAGACCACGTGGGTCTTTAGGTGAAACATCATACCCATCAGATGTTGCAACAGCAACAGCAACACCTTCTCTTCTTGAATCTGTATCCTCTCTGTATTTATGAATTCTATGGCTACCATGACTAAGAGCACGTGTTTTTTCAGGTAAAACATCATACCTATCATATTTTGCTACAACTCCATGTCCATCTCCCCTTTCTGATTCCTTAGTACCCCTGCGGTTGTGCATTCTCTGGCCATCATTACTTAGACCACATTTTTCTTCAGGTGAAACATCATATTTTGCAACATTAGTACTTCCATCTTCTCTTCTTGAACGCTTACCCTCTCCAGCACTCTGCATTTTCTGGCCACCATTAGTATGATCATGTGTTTCTTTAAGTGAAACATCATGTCCATCAGATTTTGCAACATTTCCATTGCCATTAAGAAGATTAAGTTCTTCAGCAGCAACAGGGAAGTTTCCATGTTTATTTGGTTTGGCCTGGAAGACATCAGCCACAGAAAACACAATCAGTTTATATATAATTGTCTTTCTTTCATCCTTCTTTGGAAGATGTAGCGGGATACCAAATTTTGTGGAAAACAAAAATAAAGAAAGAAAGCCCATTCATTTAGTTTTCCCTGCTAGGTAGGATGCTGCTTTTAAAAGAATTAACATTTTAAGTCTTTCTTCCCCATCTCATTTCAATGAGTGACATACCTGTACTAGTGTAGGTGGATCAGCCATCCTCTGCTCAAAGCCCCCAGAATTCCAATTTATTGAAAACTCTGATGCTATATCTTTCAGTAACTGGAGTCTCTTCTCCATGGCAGGAGGCTTTGAAGACAATATCTCAACAAACTATATCATTCAGAAATCAAGCTGTCAGGCACAAAACTAGAGCTCTGAAACTAAAACGTCCCAACTAATTGCCGAGAATAACCTTTTGATTAACAAAACATTCTAGAGTACTTCCATATCTCTCCTGAAATAGATTCCTGAGATCTCGCAATTCAGGCAAATCAGAAAATCTTGCTGCTGCAAACATCAGAGAAGCCACAGGCTCCCTGCACTCTTCTGGGCACTCTCTGGGAAGAAAACAATTCGGAAGAAGATTGTAAATACTTGAGATTTATTATATTAAAAAAATAAGAAGACGAAGAAAAAGAAGAGTAGAACTTCATAAGATAAAAGCCTGAAAACGTTGTCTCTTTATTACATGATACCCTTCAGATTGAACTTCCCCGACACGAGGATTGAGACATCTGATGCTCATGCACACAACATTAATTGTTCAAAATCGCCAATATTGACAGTTTAGAAGCATTCAATTCTTTGGACCACTGGTCTTGTCAATTACATTGGTTCTAAAAAAAATAGTACATACAAATATACCTGAAAACAAGTTCTTATACGGGTATTTAAAAGTGAATATCTATATATCCAATGAATCATCTCCATCAAATGGTCCGTATCAAACAAATGCTACTGTGTTCAGGTATCTCAATGGGAAGAATGTATAGAGAATTTTAAGCTTGACCAGGACACAAAGCTAGGATGTTTTGACCTTGAATAAGATGTAATAAATGCAGAAGCTCCAGGAAAAGACATATCACCACATACGACATTTTTACTAACAAACTACATTTCTGAAGGTGATCCTGAAATTATGATTTTAACGTTTAACAAAAAAGTAGTATGGAGTTTTCACCAAGTCACTGACCTTTTTTGTACCAAATGAGTATACATGCACTATTGTTTTTATTTTGAAACTCTGCCTTAATCCATCTGGCACTTAAAATTGGTCTGTGCTCAATTGGCTAGGATGTTTTGTTTAGCTAATCAAGTACATATATAGTCCTCCTAAATACTGTGAATTGGTTCAATGACTGCTGCAACCACGTTATATCAACTTAAATGAGAAGCCCATTAAGGTGATAATGCATCTTTCTTCTGCCAAAATATTGCCTATGGGCCATTGCCTCATTATGTACTTTCAACTTTCTTTTCTTCTCCTCACTGTAAAGTATAAAACCATCTATTTGTGTCATTCAAATTATAAAGCTTTAACCAAACTAAAGATTGGTCCCACTAGTGAGCTTCAGAAGCAATCAAATGAGTCATCCGGTGATTAGGAAATGAGAACAATTCACAGCATTAGCAAATTACAAAGCATTAAAAAGAAGCATCTTCCAAGAATAGGAGACCAGAGATCCTAATCATTCCTGGTAACTTCCTATCAAAGAGAGAAAAAGCAATATTCCTCTTAATCCTAATACAAGAAAAGGACACTTCTGTACCACCTAAGTACCAGTTAAATGACACGAGATGATACCATTAAAGTAAGTGCGCATGAAGTGCAAATCATGTATCAACGAAAGCGCATTGGCATGTTTGTTTCTTTTGCGTAACTCTAATCTATGCAAAGTTGCAGCAGGAAAGTTTTGCCAGAACATTGATGAGTGCATATACAGCCTGATCAAAATCAAATCCTAGCACTAAATTATAAAATCTCTGCTGCTGCACTTTATAGCTGCCCATAATATTCTAGCCTGTGATCATATATCCCCAACACAATGGATTTTTCTTTTAAATTTAAGATGTAAGCTACAAAACCAAGCAAATGCACATACTATATCAAAGACAACATCCAATTTGTAAAGACAGCAGGAACTGCAATAAATTCTAGTGAATTTCAAGCTCTCGTTCATATGACAAAAACTGCAGATTGTAGCACAGTTTCTTTTGCATGCTTAGGGCAGAGAAGTTTAGCTGATACCTTTGCTTTTGCATGCTCAAAAGCTGCTTCAGAATATATTCGCACGTGTATTCAATGAAATCATAACAGGACAAAAGGTTGAGTCCAGCAAGAAATTCTTCTGTCTGTATCATCTCATCAAAAGGAAAACACTTGTGTCAACTCATTTTAAGTAACTGGGAAATATCTGATGATACATCAGACCCATAACCAACTGATTTTACTATATACTCTGCATGGTATAAGAAAAGATCAGTTGTTTGTAAGAGATATGCTTAGAAGTTCACTAATTCATGCAATAACAAATGGATTCACTGTGCCCAAGTTGCAAGAAAGACAGCAATCAGATCAACCCATTAGATACAAATGCAATCTCTAACTCTAATTTACCAGATAACCATAATTAAAGGATTATTGGAAGAGTTGTGACATGAAATTCAGATGAGAAACTTGGATTGTTGCTCTAGAAAATTGAACTACTGGATAACGGGGATAAATATCTGTTACTCCTTACTTCATTTCACCATAATCTCACATGCAAAAATTCATTATACATCAATCCTTGGTAGAGGCACTGCTTGTTGAAGTAATAAACTCTGACAAAAACCACTTCAAGAAGTAACAATATCCCTTTCTAAATTTGAACACAATACTTAAGCATGCAGTGTGACTTTTAGAATGGGACAGTATCCACCAAAAAAATTTCAAGTTGAATGCCAGTGTACTTGCGTCATATAATTAACCGATCCATCTCCTTTCAGATTATGCAGTAAAGCATGAATTAATATGGTAAGCAGCAACACAATTGAAATTCTTGAATATCATGAAAAACTTGCAAGAAGTACAAGTTTTGAATGTACAGATGGATAAACCATTTGCTAGATTTCCCAATTCATGCATAGGTCTACCCTTGTGGGCAAAAACAAACAATGTTGGATTGTATGCAATGCTGACATGTATAGCTAAGTAGTTTCAAGATCTTGGTCCACTTGTTTGCATAACTTTGGCAACATTGAGCTACTAAATAACTGGTTATCATTAGTCTATTGCATTGATTGCATTGTAAATGAGGTATGCCCCCCATGTTAGCTTGTTGGCAGAGCAAAGCATCTGCACATCATCCCTTTAAATCTCAAAATTGACATATTTTATGAGCAGTACTTAATTTCACAGCTTCGTCCTTGGAGCAGCAGAATCATCCTCATTAGATCAGGACTCGCATTATGCGGCTAAGGAAACCATACAAGAGGCATGCTTTCCAGTAAGCAACTAAACTGTACCTATTTAGCCACGACTTGGCAACTTCATCTGATTACATCACACAAGTCAAGTGTTTACTTCGATTAGCAGCCTTCATATTGTGTTTTAGATACAATTTATCACACACAATCAATTTAACTGAACCTAATACAGAAACAATCCACCAAAAGAAAAGAAACCACAAATTGCATGTTTTTCTAAGAAAGGTGAAACAAAATTGAATCCTGATATCCTAATTTCGTTCTTCAAAAACAAGGATGCGGCCAAAACAATAGACACTGCACAAATTTTACAACGTAACCGCAAGAAATTCAAATTTTTTAATTGACTCCAAGAGAACCAAAAAAAAAAAATTTACAAGTCAATCTGAATATACCCTGATAATAAACAAAGAGCAATTTCAGATTTCCAACATCAACTAATCCCTCCTCCAAATTCATAAATCATCTTTCAAACTAATGCTTGATCAAACAACAAATGAAGTTCCAATGAAAGAAAAAATAATCAACCAAATTTATGCTATTACGAAAATAAGTAAACATGAGAATAAAAGGTACAAAAAAGTATTACCCGTCCATAGGCATTGATATCGAGACCGTTAGCAAGCAGGTTGGCAAGATCCTCCTTCAAAAACCTCTGCTTCGCCTCCGCTCTCTTCCTCACCACTTCGATCCTCGTCCGAGTTGCCTTCATTAGCGATTTACTTCACACACAAAAAGAAAAAAAAAACAAATAAAAAATACTTAACTAAAACGCGCATTAATAAAAAATCGATAAACGTCACCTATAAAAACATATAACATTTTCTGAAACCTCAGCTCATTGCTATGAATACTGATAGAGATCGGATTGAAGGTAAGGGAACACATACCATTTGGAGCTGAAGCCACGGTTTAGTAAACCGTCAAGCATCTTCAAATCGATTATAAGATTAATTTCAACTTTTTTTTTCTGAGAATGGGAAATGAGAAGTGATTTAGCAATTGGCAGCAGTATTTAAACTGAATAGGTGCAATAGAAGAACCAGCGGTTTTTGAGTTTTAACGTATAAGGAAAATCAAGTAGTAATAGTAGTAAGCAGATCCGCCATTATCGTTCAGTAGTCAGTAGTATTAGTAGCTGTATGAAAAAGTGAACTTTTTTTTAAAAAAAATTCCTCTCCGTCGTTCTTCGTTTTGTGTTTTTTACCTCAACAGAGAGCATAAGAAAAGAGTAATGGTAGTGAGTCGGGTGGGGCAGGACAGCGAGGGAAAGTCACATGGATGCTGGATGATGGACGGATGGCTTTTTCCGCATGACAACGTGGTCAAGAGAGTCAACCCATTTCAAATTCTCATGTTTCCGTTATTATTCTATAACAAATTTGTCATCGGAACAATATGACCAAAAACAAGGGAATGCCACGTTATGGCACTTAAAAGGGTATTAGGATGTAAATGAGTACCAACCAAACGAGTTCTCCTTGTGATTTTCAAGAAAAGCTAACATTCTATATGAAGTATCTAGATGACCTTGCCAAGACCCAAATTAAGATGAATTTGGAATAAAATAAGTGCTCTTGCAGAAGTTAATACTGAAGCCTAAAGGAATAGATCCTACCTGAAGTAACTTAAAGGTTTCAAAATCAAGATCTGCATGGTACCAGTTCTCAGCCTGGTAGTCAATACAATCTAACTGGAAATCAAGCATAAGAAAATTAGCCATCTGCCTCTGAATGCAGCCAAGAATATTAAATCCCCTTGAGGCTGAACCTTTAAGTTTCTTTTTAGCAGCATGATTTCTTCTGCTTTCTAGACTTTCTCTGCTAGCAACCATCTCATAAAGGACACAATCATACAATTCAAGTTCTTTTTGCAAGGTCTCAAAGTACCTGCAAATAAAAAGATTAAATCATGTCACAATTTCCACCATTTACAACTTAAATGCAGTCAACACAAATACCCAAAGTTCTCAACGCTTTTTATTACATGATAGATTAATAAAAAGTTAAATATGTGAAAAGTTAATGATTTAGGCAATTGTGAATCCGCATAAAAGAGGTGGATGATTGTCTATTATGGTTTTGACGAGAGATGGGCATCTTGAATTTTTTCTCCTCCTGAGGAACAGCATAAAGATCGCATGTTTACGTCCAAACACAAGACTATGACAGATTATATCACTGAAACAGCAAATAGATCTCAGATAAAGCAACCAGAAGCTAAAAGGATGCTGGTCCACCAAAAGAATGACTACGCCTTGATTATAAGTTCTTCATGAGAGTGAAAAAATAAAAGATGAGCAAAGCCCCTAACAAAGAAATACAGAGAACAATAAGGATTAGATTCATACACTGAGAGTACCTCAGCAGTTAAGAAACTCACATGCAAGAATTGGATAAACTATATCACAGATTGCTCCATGATCTAATAGGTTTACAAGCAGAATTTATCATTGGCTTGTCTAATTAACAAGTACAAGAAAAAAGATCAATGATCAATAGAAGTTCAGCAAACAACAAAAGATTATCCAAATCACCAATAAGAAAATTTCAAGAAAAATTTCATCTTACTATTTCAAAGCCATTTTCCAATTCACTGCCAGCCAGCCTAATGTTTCCCAGCTCTAACAAGGAGATAGAGCATAATCTTGCTTGCTATGAGTAAGAGTTAGAGATAAAATGCACTAGTTTTCTTGAATCTCCTAAACCAAAAGGTCTCTGTCATCTTGTCTCATGCTTTAGTTATTTTTATACCCATTCTTCTTCATTACACTTTTTGATTATCCTCGTTTCTCCTCATTAACATATCCCACAAAAGGAACACCACGGACACAGGTCTATAAATCTATACACAAATAATATAAACACTCTCAGTGACCTTTTTATCTCACGTACATCAAATCCTTAAAAGTATATTTTTCTACAAAAACTCCTAAAAATAGCAATCCAATCGGGTACTTACTCTTTATCTGCAATGTGTATAGTCGAAACCAAATCAACCTGCACCAAAAGTTTTAACAGAGTGACGTAGTTAAAACGACTCCACGATTGAAAGCTTCACAAACAATCAAAGCATTCTTAAAACCCAAATCAGAAACAAAGGCAAAAAATTCCCCCCTTTGTTCACAAAAAGAAAAAGAAAAAGAAAAAATGCTCACCTGAAGAAATGGTTGAAGAAGGGACCAAGGGAACTTCTTGCGATAACTAACAACGGCAGTCTGCAACTCAGAACTTCTATAGCTTCCTCCCTCTGCATCATCACTAGACTTGGAATTTGAGCTTCGCTTGATGAACCTCATGAAATCTGCAATGGAATTGTTCTCCAGAAAATGCTCAGCCGACCCATTATCGGCTTCCACTAATTGCGACTGCTGCTGCTGTTGCTTGAAGGAGGCCCTCAACTTGAAATTTCTGAGCCCAGAATTTCGGATAAATACGGAGAAAACGCGAGAGGACGAGGAGGAGGGCCAATCGGGGTTAGCGAGTGGTGAATAATTTGATGACGACGATGGTAGCGTTGTAGATAGTAGAGCCAGGGAGCCATGAACCATAGCGCTCTCCGCTCAGATTCAGAGGATTCCAAATTCAGAAAATTTGTTTGCTTTTTAGTGGGTGTAATTTTGAGGAGAGGATATATCATCAGTATCATACGTGTTCTGGAATTTTATTTTTATTGTTCTTTTATTATCCTCCTTTATTTATATGTTTCACAAACAAACAAGAATACGTACGAACGATGAACAACAGAATAGAGAAGTTGTTTATCAGACAATACAAGCACATTATTATTGCCCGATCTATTCTCACCATCACTTTGAGATCCACTTGAAGTTTTTTGCTGCTTTTTTTTTTGGGTTAATGGTAATTTTCTTGGACTTCACTTTGAAAATGAAGTCTAGTATTGGCTCGCACGCCAAAAACTCCGTTGCTTTTTCTTAAAAGCCACACCGACAAGCCCAGAGTCAATTAGTTTAGGACAAACCGTTTTGATTTGTTTGTTTATGGTAAATGGTGACAAGTAAAAGGAGCCCACAAGAGAGACGGAAATAAGTTAAAAAGGAATCCAGTGCTTCGAATTTTCTTTGCTGCCTTTGCCTTCAATTATTGACTTCAAGTTCCAACCAATATGATGTGGTTATTTTACATCCGATACAATGAATACAAGACAATCCAACATCTTAGTGACCTATTACAGCTCGTATCTGTGAAACGAAAGATATTATCAAAGAATAACTTCTGACTTACAAGCAAAAGAATCAAAAGAACAAGAGCCCCCACTCCGGAACTGCTCGAGCTGGCTTGAGTTTAGGTTGCAATGGCTGCAATCTTTAAGAAAAAAATGATATCTGCTAAACAAATATGATTCCTAGCTTTTACTACTTCCTCCTTCTTTAACTGTTTCTTTTTCTTTATGGGCTCACTGCCATGCTTCTTTCAATTAAAAACACTTTGTTTTCGGCTGAATACCGCTCATTGATATAGCAACACGAGACCAGCTTCTAAATCCTCCAACCTAAGTGTAAGTAATTCATCTGTATCTATGCAGTCAAAACTGAGCCTCAAATCCAAATTTTCTCTTGCATTGACTAGCATCGGGTCTACTAGACCTCCATTCATTTCCTGGCGCTGCTTTTCCGTTGTTTCTCTGTCTATAAGTGCTGCAACAGCATCTATGCTACACGAGGGGTGCAACTTAAATCCATACAACAAGCTATTCTCAACTTGATTAGTCATTTTAAGATGAAGAATCTTGGCAAGATCCTCAGAACTGAAGTCGTTAAAAAGAAAAAACTTTGTTACCCTTCTGCAGAAGCCTTCATTTGAAGAAATCACACGCTTCATTGGTTCACTGTAGCCAGCAAAGATTACAACAACTTTTCCACTATCCATGACTGACATTATTTCTTCTAGAGCCTCCACCCCGTAGTCTTTATCATCTGCCTTCTGCATGGGTATGAGTCTGTAGGCTTCATCCACGAAAAGAATTCCACCTTCAGCTTCTTGTATCTGCATGTGGCTCAAAAAGTTGTTCGTCAATTAGTGCACAGAATTGCTGGCAAAAGTAGTTTCTAAGAAATTATTAAAACAGAATTATCACAAGGTACCTTTCTCCTTGTCTTTGGTCCTGTGTGACCCACAAACTCCCCAACTAAATCTGTTCGCTGCACTTCTGTTACCCTGTCGGTAGGAAGAATTCCAACCATGTGGAGTAATTTTCCAAGCACTCGTGCTACCATAGTCTTACCTGCAGAGAAGTTCCAATCGATTGAATGAGAAACCACTGGAGTATGAATCCATCTCAACCTTTTCCATTTAACATGAAAATGATTCTCAGAATGCAAAAAGCTGATTAAACATAAAGTGCTTCCACCAACATAATCGGCAAAATCTTACTTCGTATTACCTGTTCCAGGATTTCCCAAGAAGGCCATGTGAGGTGCCCTTCTAGCACCAACTTTTAGTCCAAGTGCGCGTCGCCTCTCATCCAAGAGCATCCCCTTTGCCCATTTTCGGAGTTGTACTTTGAGCTCATCTAGTCCAACTATGTTTGATAACTCATTTTCCAGTGCATCCATCTTTGCTTGAGTCTCGCTGCATGCATCAACAGCTTTACGCTTTCTCTGCTCTTCAAGGTGTTTGTGGAGAATTTCACGTAATTTTTCACTCCCATGGCTTTGTGAAAGATGATTCAAAGGAGTCAGACCCTCCTGCAATTAAAGGACATTTCACTAATGAGGACGAACAAAAATATAGCACTGAGATATGCAAACCAAATGGCAGGCATCGTACATTATCTTTGGCACTGCAATCGGCATTATATTCGAGCAATGTCTTAACAGTTGAATAATCTTCTGCTCGAAGTGAATGCCAAACAGCAAGATGCAGCGGGGTCATGCCATTCTGAAATGCACAATGGAGAAGAATGTATGCATTTCAGTAAGTAGAAAATTATAATATCCATGTTCAAAATAAAGTCTTTGAGTAGAATGAAACAGGAATAAGAAGAATACACACATTTGCTTTGGCTTCTATAGAGGCACCATGAGCTAGGAGCATCTTTGCAGCTCCATTACATCCATTTTTAGCAGCCATGTGCAGCGGGGTCTCCCCATACTACAAAAGTTAAGATGTCAAACTAATAAGAGCATTGTACAAATTCTGTCAAGACATTGAACACCATTGCTGAGAAGGATAATAATGAAAGAAGCCACACAGAAACACAGAAACAACAAAAATAATAATAAATAAATAAATTCTTCTTTAACTTTATGCCTGCTTTGAACTCATACATTGTTACAAAAGTTTATTGCTCCAAGCTTGGTTAGCAGTAAAACAGGAAGGAAGCCTGACGTTCTTGTATGGATCTAAACTAAGGTCCAATTGCCCGGATCCTAATTGGCTTTTCCAAATTCAATGACGTCTGAGTCTGATTCCCATCCAATTACAACCCTATATGCATAAAACATTACACCTAGATATGCGAGATATAGCATACAGATGAATATGGACCACATCTATATGAGCTATGTATGGATAGGAAAACACTCTAACAAAACATTCTCTCAGAAAACCATAAAAAACCACAACACATGTTCTAGGTTATATTAAAGTGAGAAGACAAGGTCCTTTGAAGGTCAAAAGCTCCAAATATGGACGTACTACTTAATAATCTGCTGCTAATCCTCCAAATACATAACTAAAATCATTTATTGCAATTAGATTTTATAAAACTCACATAGAATCCTTCAATCGTGACATTTTCATTCAAGAAGAAGATTAAACAAGCACTATAAAAATATAGCTTTTACATACCATATTCTTGGCCTCCAACTCCACCTTTTCTGGTCCAGCCCAATCAAGCAGAAGCTTAATTATTTCAACATTGTTGTAACCAGCAGAAACATGAAGTGGTGTCTGTGCCATCTGCAGCCAACCAGCAAAAAGATCATTAAGACCATACTTATAGATGAAGTGCATACTGATTTTGAAGCCAATTAGCAAGTAAAGATTGTAAATAGCTTCTAACGAAGGAATTCTCTACTTTGAAAATAAATAAATGAACAAGCAATCAAAGTAGCATTAATGCCAAGACAATTAAGTTAAGATAAGGTCATATCTTGCAACAGGAAAACTTACAACAGAAGGTTAACAACCTGAAAATGGATATTTCATTGCATGATTGAGATGTATACAACACTGCTCAATTCACCATATAACATTTCATTGAAATTCCAACTGTTCAATCATACTTGCATGATAATAGATAACAAGTTATGAAAAGTCTTCTAAATTTGTATTAACCAAGAAACAATCTTCATTTCTGTCTATTTGGAGAAGCTTCATAATGTAGCAAAAAGTCTTCTCCAACACCTGTCTCCACTCCAGGCTTCATAAGTGAGCAAGCAATCAAAGTAGCATTAATGCCAAGACAATCAGCTTAAGACAATATTATACCTAGAAAAGAGAAAACTTACAATGAAAGGTTAACAACCAGAAAGTAGCTATTTCATTTCATGATATATAAATGTAAACACTACCTACTGATTTCACTAGATAAGATTACTCAAAGTCATTGAGTTCCCATCATTCAACATTCTAAGATTTCTCAATTTCTAGAGCAAGATGGTAGCAAACATGTCACGAAATGTCTTTGTATTAAACTGAGAAATGATCTTCACTTCTATGTATTTGAAGAAGCTTTCTGATGTAACAAAGGTCTTCTACAAAACCTGTCTCCACTCCAAGTTTCATCATGATTACAATTTACAATGGTTGTTTGCTTCAAAAACTACTACGTTTAGACCATGCTGACTCCAATGAGGCTCCCAGAGCAAAAATTAGCACATTAGCAAACTACACTAAGAACCTGCATCACCTTCTACTTTGATAGTGACCAACTACCGTTCCAGCTCAATTTATGCAGTCAGCCTCACTCTGACTAGCACAACCAAAAAATTGGAAGGACTCACGTTTTGAAGTCAAGATCACAGCAAATGTGGCTTAACTACTGTTAATCAGGTGCTTTTAACTAAACGTTTAAGTGCGTATTAGCAAGCTTATCAGATCTTAACCAAGATGAAATATTTACTTCCTCCTGAGGAATTCCTCATATAAAACTCAATCAATAATAAAATTAAAAGGTATTACTAGACGGAAATTGGGGGAAAATTCACAATGCATCCACTAAAAAACAATTTATGACCAATCTCAGAGACCAAAAGCAAAACAAGACTAACTTGGGAAATTCCGGGACAGACAAGAAATGTAAAATTGAAATACAAAAGGGATTTCTATTTACTTCATAGATAAATTAAAGAAACAAAGAAGGAGATCTTACAACAGGGTTTCGATCATTGAGTAGAGAAGGATTGTCACGAAGTAGCTTTTGGAAGGCAATGAGATCCCCAGACTGAGCCAACCCGTGTATGGTTGTGGGTTTGGAGGATCTTGACCTTTGATCCTTGAGTTTCTGCATAGTTTCTCGGTATAATAGAATTATCTTCTAATTTTATGTTGTTTCTTTATCTCCTCTCCTCTCTCCCACAGAAGCAAGAACTGAAATTGAATGAAAAAAGATAGGTGTGGGAGAGAGGGAGAGAGAGATTAAGAGTGGGGTGTTTTTATTTTCAAAGGGAATTCTTGAAATCAGTCATTGCTGCTGCTGCGAAATTGCGAATACATATATGCGCGCGTCTGAATTTCCCTGGCATGGGAACGCGAATAGTTCGCATTGTGCAGATGCGGCTGGCAGTTGTGCTTTTCTATTTTGTGCAATGATTTGCCAGCTGGATACCGTCCGTCCATAATTCACCGCTGCCCC